GATTAGCAGTCAAGTGCCTTAGGCACTACGCCACCAGAGCTCCTTAAAAAGAGATGCAGGAAGGGAAAAATAAACCCATATAAAGGTGCTCTGGTGATAGAGTGGTTAAGGCATTTGGCCGCTGAGCAAAAGGTCAGTGGTTCAAACCACCAGCCGCTCCTCAGAAGAAAGATGAGGCAGTCTGCTTCCATAAAGATTGACAGCCTTAGACACCCACTCGGGGTCTCTGTGAGTCAGAATCAACTTGAAGGCGATAAGTTTGTTTTTTTTTTAAAGTGTAATGGATGATCTGGTAGCATAGTGGCTAAGGCACTTGACTACTAACCAGAAGGCTGGCGGTTCAAATCCATCAGCCACTCCTCGGAAGGAAGGTTGGGCATCTACTTCTGTAGTGATACTGCCTCGGAAACCCAAGGAGGGGTCGCTATGAGTCAGGGCCAACTCGACGGCAAATAACAACAACAACAATGGATGATCTACAGGTAGCAGGAGAGAACAGGATGGAAGAGACGGAGGGGTGGCACCATTCCCGGTACACGGCACCACGTGGCTTTACCTTTGGAACCACGCTAATAGTTTGTGCATTCACAAAGATAAAATCAACACAGATGAGGAAAAAAAAAACCCTAACATTGATCAGAAATGAACAAACTAACCTAACGTGAGGCTGCGAGGTCTGGCTGGCTTTTTTCTTCACGGAAGCCAATCGCCAGGCCCGAGCTTCCACAGGAGCGCTAGGCGGGCTCGAACAGGCAACCTCTGGGTCTCTGGCTGGGCACAGACCCTCTGCGCCACCAGGGCCTTTAAACAAGCGCACCTTCATCAAACGAACGACGCGTCCACAGCGCCACGAGTTGCGTGGGGCCGCTGCCGACTCGGCGGATGCCACACGTCCGAGTGGGACCGTGCCCCGCGCGGCTTGCGACGGCGGACTTCCCACAAGCCCAGCAGCCGGCCTCTCGGCCCAGGCGCCTGTGGGCCGACTCGAGCCCCTCAACGTCTGGTTCGCATCTGAGCACAGCAACGGTCTGCACCCCCAAGGCCTGTGTGTGAGTGCACGCGTGCGTGTGTGAGCACATGTATGAGAGAGACGGTGAAATGTTAAAAACTGGTGCGTGCAGGAGAAAGAAACAGGAGAGTTCACTGCGTTCATTGCAAGTTTGCTGTAGGTTTCACATTTTTTTTACCCCAAAATTAAAAACCTGCAACAAAAATACAATAGATAACCTGGAATGGGATTTGTCTGCGGGTGCTAAGGCCTTACCGTGCCAATTACGCATGGATTGTAAACAGAACAATGTATCTTTGCAACAGGGAGATGGGAGGAACCGCACATGAGAACACCGCCTTGATGAAGGGCTCAAAATCTGTGCCCTCGCGGTGGGGTCAGTATCAGGAACCAACGAGTCGACTGCAACTCACAGCGCCCCCAAGTGCGTTGGAGGAGAAATGCCACCAGTGTTTTCCTAGGGGCCCTTCAGAGCCACGCCTTCAGGCCTGTCCTCCGAGGGATCTCTGCCCAGAGACTCGAACCCTCAGCCTTTCCGTTAATCGTCCAGGGCTTAACAGAGCGCACTTCCAAGGGATAGTGGCAGGACGAGCTGACGTTGTTCGGCGCCTGAAGTGACGTGATGTAAAGTCCTCGGTGCAGGGAAAGGGGACAAACAAAACTCTACGATGCATGCAGAAACAATCACCTAGCACCGGGATGGGGCACCTTCCACCAGATACGCACACGTTTCAGTAACTCGGCTGCTCACGGGAAAGGTGGAGGGTCGAGTCCGCCCAAGTGCCTCAGAAGAAAAGCCAGGCTGTCTACATCCCCCCCAAAAAAATCCAGCATTGAGAACCCCATGGAGTTCAGGCAGCAAGGAGCTTTGGTTTATGCTGATGGGAAACTCGGCAACCCGTCCACGTGATGGCTGCATGAGACAGTGTCACTGAGGTCACTGAATTGTACACCTGGAAACTGTTGGATCGGCTGATGTGCTACACGGTGAAACTTGCAAAACGGAAACCTGTCGAAGAAGAAGTATTTCCCACTCAATTAAGAATGGGAAAGTGGGAAGACGGCTCCCTGTGAAAGGCGGAAAGCCCACGAAATCCAGAAAAACAAGGTGGTCCCGCTGAGTTCCAGCTGTGCGGTGTGTGTTTACATTAATAGAAGCAGAAAACCCACAGCCTATGGAACACAGTTCTACTGTGAGGCGCGTGGGGTCGCCACGAGTCAGAGGCAACTGCCGTGGAGTTGACGAACACGTGGAACCACGGAGGAGCCCTGGTGGGGCAGTGGGTGGGCCCTCAGCTGCTCACTGAAAGGTCGGTGGTTCCAACCCAGCCAGCGGCTCCCGGGGAGAATGACCCGGGAATCAGACCGTCGGCGGTGGTGCCGGGAAGTCAGGCCCACCCTCAGCGACCCTGTGTAGACGGGAACCAGTGCTGCACGGCCCTGTACCGGCCCCACAAACACCTGCCGGAGCCCAGCGCTGCGGCCACCTGTCCGTCCATCGCGTGCAGGCGCTGGCCGTCCACTTTACCGAGCGCGCTGTCCTCCTCCAGGGACTGGTCTCACCTGACAACATGCCCAGAGTCCCTGAGACCAGGTCTCACCGTGCCCCCCTGCAAGGAGTCTTCAGCTGAAGTTCTTCCCAGACAGACCTGCTCCTTCTCCGACCATCCAGGGGACATTCAGAACCCCTCACCAACACCATAATCGAAAGCGATCAATTCTTTGATCTTCTTTGGTAATCGTCCAGCCTTCACATCCACATGAGGAGATTGAAAATACCAAGGCTTGAGTTAGACGCACCTTAGTCCTCAAAGTGACATCTTTACTTTTCAACTCTTTAAAGAGGTCTGCTGCAGCAATTTTTCCAATGCAATATGTTGTTGGATTTCTCTCTCTCTTTCCCTCTCTTTTTTTTTTTTTTTTTCCAAATCTTGTTGGTTCTCCACTCAGTGCCTTCAGTGTGCAATGAACTTCTTCCTTCAGCACCATCTTGATCATACGCCACCTCCTGAAACGCTTGAACGATGACCATTTCTTTCTGGTACGTGACTTTGTGTATTCCTTCCATCTTCTTTTGATGCTTCCTGCTTCATTCAATACTTTGCCCGTAAAATCCTTCAGTATTGCAGCTCAAGGCTTGAAGTTTTCTTCAGTTCTTTCAGCCTGAGAAATGCCAAGCGTGTTCTTCCCTTTGGTTTTCTAGCTCCAGGTCTCTGCACGTCTCAGTATAATCAT